GCGTCTGTGCGCATGTTTGTGTTTCTGGTCTCAGCTGCTGGTGGTCAGGGTTATGATTGGCTGAATGAAGGCAGAATAAGCCCGAAACAGTGCTGTATCAATCTACCCGCATTCTCTGTCGTCCCTCCTCGCTGCTATTATGACTTGGCCGACTTCGGCCTGGTAATTGGTTGCCTGTTCGTGACCTTTGCCACACATACGGAGCTTGTTTGCTTTGTGAAGCCAATAGATCGGTGTGCGCCCATTCCTGATTGATAAATACCCGATCTGCAGCGACAGAGAATGACAGGTGGCGAGGCACTGATGAACTTCGGTTCGATGAAGTGCTTATGACCCATCTGGTAGGCCTCAGTGGTGGACCGACTGCGCCAGGTGCGTCTGTGCGCATGTTTGTGTTTCTGGTCGCAGCTGCTGGTGGTCAGGGTTATGATTGGCTGAATGAAGGCAGAATAAGCCCGAAACAGTGCTGTATCAATCTACCCGCATTCTCTGTCGTCCCTCCTCGCTGCTATTATGACTTGGCCGACTTCGGCCTGGTAATTGGTTGCCTGTTCGTGACCTTTGCCACACATACGGAGCTTGTTTGCTTTGTGAAGCCAATAGATCGGTGTGCGCCCATTCCTGATTGATAAATACCCGATCTGCAGCGACAGAGAATGACAGGTGGCGAGGCACTGATGAACTTCGGTTCGATGAAGTGCTTATGACCCATCTGGTAGGCCTCAGTGGTGGACCGACTGCGCCAGGTGCGTCTGTGCGCATGTTTGTGTTTCTGGTCTCAGCTGCTGGTGGTCAGGGTTATGATTGGCTGAATGAAGGCAGAATAAGCCCGAAACAGTGCTGTATCAATCTACCCGCATTCTCTGTCGTCCCTCCTCGCTGCTATTATGACTTGGCCGACTTCGGCCTGGTAATTGGTTGCCTGTTCGTGACCTTTGCCACACATACGGAGCTTGTTTGCTTTGTGAAGCCAATAGATCGGTGTGCGCCCATTCCTGATTGATATATATATATATATATATATATAGCAACTCGAGTTAATGTTCGCGGTCCTGAAAAATTATACCGTTTATCATCATCCCCAGAATAAGACGAAGAAGAAAAAGGGGCGTTTGCATGGACCACAATTTATTGGTGCTGACGTTTCGGAAACTTCCTCGTTATCCTCATCAGAGTAGTGGGCTGTCTGTTCCTGCTTGCGCGAAGTTGTTCTGACTTGCCGCCTGTCTTGTGTTATTGGCTTTGGTTCCTCCGCGGGCGGCCAATGACGCGCTCCTGTGACCTCTGCTCCCTGACCGGCTGTCGTAATTTCTGCAAATCCTGTGGGCCCATGGACCCTCACCTCATAATCGGATGGACTGATCAGCTGCCGTTGCATGCGCGAATCACGCTCGGCTGTCTGGGCACGCCGGTGGGGCGATGTTTCGCGTTTGCCGTGTGACCTCCGGCTGGCTCCTTCCCCTGCTGTAAAGGTGACAAGTGTTGGAGGAACCGCGACTCGCTCGCCAGTAATGTCGGCACCGTCTGGACTGACAGGAGCCTTGTACGCAGCGCCTGGAGCAGCTTTCGAGCACCAGCCTAGCCATCTTGTCATGTGCTCGACCGAGGACACTTGCTTCCCCAAAGGCGAAACTATGTTTCACCTGTTGCATGTGGCCATATACCAGTGACAGTCTATCCTCGCGGTTGACTGCAAGGATCGTGAGTGCCGACGAAATACTACCCGTCAGCGATTAGACGGTGAAAAGCCGAAGTTTTGGCTTGCGATCCCCAACGTGAAGAATGTTTCCGAGGCGAAATCTAGAATCATAAACCCTTTTGGGATTGGAGTGGCCCATAAACCGGAATCCACCATCACACAGCAGCTAATGAAACCCAAAGACCCGCTACCGGCAACGGAAGAATCAGCAGTGGTATACAGCATACCGTGCCAAAATTGCAATGTAAGGTATGTTGGTGAAACGGGGAAACGCCACGGAGAGACCTAAGCCAATCGCCCGCCAGCAAGCAGGTCAGAGTTCGTGTGTCAGGCATGCCAATAACACAAGACAGGCGGCGAGGCAGAACAACTTTGCGCAAGCAGGAACAGACACCCCATTACTCTGATGATGGAAACGAGGAAGTTTCCGAAACGTCAGCACCAATGCACTGTGGTCCATGCCATGGCCCCTTTTTCTTCTTCGTCTTCTTTTGGGGATGATGAACGAGATATATACATATTGAAATCAAAACGTTCTTTGGGAAAGGGAGAAAACTTTATTGAGTAAATTTTCGACGTCGGTTCCCCGTGTCGTCGTCAGACTATAGTAAATGTGCTGAAAACAATTAAAATTTCAAACGTGCTACAAAATCAATACTCATTTGGTGCCTCAGCTAGTAAGCTGCCGTCGTGTGTGTCAGTCCGTCTTGATCGGCTTTCGTCTCTTCCACTTTTCTCTGAGATTCTTGTACGTGGCATCTAATTCGATATGCCTGTTGATGCATGACTCATCGGAGTGCATGGCTTCAAGAAACTCTCGGCCTTTTTTAGATGGGTAAACTACGACGATGCGAGTTCTGTCCCATGCGAAATTGTGCCCAGTATCAAGAGTGTGCATGGCCATTTGAGACAAGTGGTCTCGCCTCTTAACTGCAAGTTGATGTTCGTGGATGCGTGTAGAGGCACATTTTCCCGTTTGGCCACAATATACGGCATCACAGGCTTCGCATGGGATCTTATAGACGACTTCTTTTTTATTGAGATAGGCAACCCTATCCTTAGGGTGTACAAGCTGGGTGCGTAAAGTAGTCGTCGGCTTGTGCGCCACTTTTATCTGGTGTTTCTTCAAGTGTGCGTACGTTGAAGGCACGCGAAGGGCGAAGGTCTCCCATCGTCGTGCTGACTCTAGCGCTTCGCGCCCGTAGATATTGCTGATTGAAGCAAAAATGCGCGTTCCCTGATATAACTGAGAAGATAAGGCGATCGCAGGAACCATAGGTATATTTGCCTGACGTTTCGAAAGCAAACAAGCTTCCATCATCGGAGGTGGTTTGCGTACTGCACGTCACAGTATTTATGGGTTTTTGTTCTTCGTGCTGGCGTGTCACTGACTGCCAGCGCGCTGCATCTCAAGGCATGGCGATTTGTTGTCATGGCGGCAACGGTTCCACCTCATTCTTTGTCGGGTGTGAGAAGGGGAGCGGCATCAGGGCGGCCGCGGCCATTGCTCTTGTTTGCATTGTCCGTTGTCTGCCCTCCGCGCATCTCGCCTTCCTGCCCTGTTCGCACACGCCCGTACCCGTGTGCACGGTGGTTACCATGCTAGTGTTGACGTCGGGCTGGGGGTGCCTGTAACTGTCGTGGGTTCCCGCCTCGCTGCCCCGTTCACATCTGTCCGTAACTGTGTTGATGGTGGTTGTCATGCCGGTGTTGACGTCGGGCTGGGGGGTCCTGTCACTGTGTGGCGCTCTCCCCAGGGGCTGGCGTCTGTCTGTGTTCGGACCCAGAAGGCGGTCGCCTAGGTTTGTGTTCGTCGCCGGTTGTCCACTGGTTTCGTCGGTTCCCGATTCCTGTCTATGCCCGTCTGTGTTCCCGCTGGGTTTGGGTTCGACTGCTGCCGTCTCTGGCCTGACGCCTCGTCGGTAGCCCTGCTTATTGAATTTCGCCCGTAAGACTTGGTAGGCGGCCGGCAAAATTACGCAGCGGTTGATCGAGGTAGTTGTGGTGTGCCAGGCTTCGAGCGTCTCCCTGATCGTTTGATCGCTCCCTTGGCCCAAGACTTCGGCGTCTTGGAAGGCGAAGGCATGGTCAAAAGCTGCGCAATGTTCCGCCACCAGCGAGAGCTGATCCATTCTTCTCACCGCTCTTGCATGCTCGTCCATGCGGGTCTGCAATCTCTTCCCAGTTTCCCCAACGTAGTTGGCTTCGCAGGAAGTACACGGGATCCCATAGACAACATTGGCGGTTTCGCCTCGTGGTAGGGGCGTTTTTGGTCTCATGACCATACGTCTAATTGTCGCTTCGGGTTTTTGGGCGATGCCGATACCCAATGGTTGCAAAATACGAGCAACTGCCTCGGAAACATTCGCAATGTATGGCAGCGCTCGCCAGACTTTCGGCTGATTTGCCGTTGACTTCACGGTTGCTCTGGACAGTCTGCTGCGTTCAATAAAGCTGCGGGGGTAACCGTTGGAGGTGAAAATCCGCCGTAGATTGTGGAATTCGGCTATCTTGTCGGCCGGTTCGCTGCAGTGAGTGTCAACTCTCTTGTAGAGAGATCGAACACAGCTTCGTTTGTGACACAGCGGATGATTGCTGTGGTAGGACAGGACCTGGCGCGTGTTAGTGGCCTTTCTGTAGACCGTCGTTTTCAGGCTCCCGTTGACCTTGCGATGGACCAGAACGTCTAGAAAGGCGATCTGATTGTTGTTCTCTGTCTCCATGGTGAGTTCAGTAGCGCGTGAAAATTCAGTACCATTTCCCGTTTGAGAACGACGAAAGTGTCGTCCACATACCGCGCCCAAAACTTTGGTTTGTATGTTGCGATCACCGACGTCTCTAACCTTTGAAGAACAGCTTCAGCGATAAAACCGGATAGTGGTGAGCCCATCGGCGTACCTTTGATTTGCTCGTATACCGTCCCTTCAAATGTGAAGAATGTTTGGAGGCAGTATTTAAGCAGCTGGACAAGGTGTCCCCGCTTCGGGGTGTTGTTTGCCTCCGTGTATTGGCCGTCGAGGAGGTCGCTGACAGTTTCAATGGCCAACTCCTTCGGGATCGAGGTGAAAAGCGAGGTTACATCGAACGACACCATGACCTCGTCTGTGTCAATTTGCAGCCCTTTCAGTCTTTCCAGGAAGTGGACGGATGAACGGACTGTCGTGTCGGAGCCCGAGGTGAGGCAGTTCAGGCGTCGGAACATCCATTTGGCCAGGTTGAATGTGGGTGTCCCGCGCAAAGACACGATGGGACGGAGTGGGGCACCAGCTTTGTGTATTTTGGGCAGCCCATAGAACCTTGCCATGGCAGCATCGGTCGGTTTGGTGGCCAGTCGTTCTGCCCTGCTCATTGCGCCATTATTTTGTAGCATGGTGAGCGTCGTGTTTATTTGCGTCATCAGTTTCTTCATCGGGTCCCCATCACATTTGACGTACGCTTGCCTGTCCTCAAGCAAGGTATTGGCTTTCTGGAGGTACTCGGTCTTGTCAAGTATAACTGTCGATCGCCCTTTGTCTGCCGGTAGGATCACGATACTCTTGTCCGCCTTCAGCGTCCTGAGGGCATCCTGCTGCGCTCTCGGGATGACCAATCGCGGTTTGTGTGTCATAACCAAGGACGTGACTTGTTGCCGAATGAGGTGCTGTGTTTCAGCTGGCTCTTGGGAGTGTTTTAGAACGGACTCAATCGTGGCCACGAGGTTCACCGGGTCAGCGTCCGAGATGTTGAAACCGGCAGCATGCCTCAGCACCTGAATCTGCTCTGGCTTAAATTCTTTGGAGGATAGATTGTGGACCAGTACATCGTTGTCGTCTTGTGTAGCAGAGCTTAATTTGTGGAATTTGGCCATCAATTCCCTATCGCGTTTGGATCTTAGTTCTCTGGCCCGTTGACCGATCACTTGGCCGAGGAGTGCTGTCTCGTTCTCGCCAACGAACTCCGAGCACCTTGAAGATGACTGGCTCAAAACTCCTCGGTATTTGTGCAGTCGAAAATGACAGTCCTGGAGGAGTACGCGAGTCATTCGCCTGCCGGTTTGCATAACCCATTGTCTCGCAAGCCTTGTGTTCACCGGTGGCTTGTAGGACAAGCTCTTTGGTAGCACTCGGCTGTCGAGGCATCTGTGAAGGAATTCGATTTGTGCGTACGTTGAAGGCACGCGAAGGGCGAAGGTCTCCCATCGTCGTGCTGACTCTAGCGCTTCGCGCCCGTAGATATTGCTGATTGAAGCAAAAATGCGCGTTCCCTGATATAACTGAGAAGATAAGGCGATCGCAGGAACCATAGGTATATTTGCCTGACGTTTCGAAAGCAAACAAGCTTCCATCATCGGAGGTGGTTTGCGTACTGCACGTCACAGTATTTATGGGTTTTTGTTCTTCGTGCTGGCGTGTCACTGACTGCCAGCGCGCTGCATCTCAAGGCATGGCGATTTGTTGTCATGGCGGCAACGGTTCCACCTCATTCTTTGTCGGGTGTGAGAAGGGGAGCGGCATCAGGGCGGCCGCGGCCATTGCTCTTGTTTGCATTGTCCGTTGTCTGCCCTCCGCGCATCTCGCCTTCCTGCCCTGTTCGCACACGCCCGTACCCGTGTGCACGGTGGTTACCATGCTAGTGTTGACGTCGGGCTGGGGGTGCCTGTAACTGTCGTGGGTTCCCGCCTCGCTGCCCCGACAGAGAATGCGGGTAGATTGATACAGCACTTATTCGGGCTTATTCTGCTTTCATTCAGCCAATCATAACCCTGACCACCAGCAGCTGCGACCAGAAACACAAACATGCGCACAGACGCACCTGGCGCAGTCGGTCCACCACTGAGGCCTACCAGATGGGTCATAAGCACTTCATCGAACCGAAGTTCATCAGTGCCTCGCCACCTGTCATTCTCTGTCGCTGCAGATCGGGTATTTATCAATCAGGAATGGGCGCACACCGATCTATTGGCTTCACAAAGCAAACAAGCTCCGTATGTGTGGCAAAGCTCACGAGCAGGCAACCAATTACCAGGCCGAAGTCGGCCAAGTCATAATAGCAGCGAGGGAGGACAGAGAATGCGGGTAGATTGATACAGCACTGTTTCGGGCTTATTCTGCCTTCATTCAGCCAATCATAACCCTGACCACCAGCAGCTGCGACCAGAAACACAAACATGCGCACAGACGCACCTGGCGCAGTCGGTCCACCACTGAGGCCTACCAGATGGGTCATAAGAACTTCATCGAACCATCATCATAAAAAGCCAATAGATCGGTGTGCGCCCATTCCTGATTGATTAATACCCGATCTGCAGCGACAGAGAATGACAGGTGGCGAGGCACTGATGAACTTCGGTTCGATGAAGTGCTTATGACCCATCTGGTAGGCCTCATTGGTGGACCGACTGCGCCAGGTGCGTCTGTGCGCATGTTTGTGTTTCTGGTCGCAGCTGCTGATGGTCAGGGTTATGATTGGCTGATCAATCTACCCGCATTCTCTGTCGTCCCTCCTCGCTGATATATATATATATATATATTTCGAAGTCGAATGTGTGCTTTGGGAAAGGAAGTTTATTATGCAAATTTTCGACGCCGGTTCCCCGAGTCGTCGTCAGGCACAGACGGAAAGCAACTGCGCCAAAACAGCTAACATCTTA